GTGTGTGTGTGTGTGTGTGTGTGTGAGAGAGAGAGAGAGAGAGAGAGAGAGAGAGAGAGAGAGAGAGAGAGAGAGAGAGAGAACATCAAGTACAAGAAAAAGGTAAGTGCTTTCCTCACTTTTTCACTGAAAGTTTAAAAATTTCAATGACGGGAGTATCCGTCTCTGAGCACTACATCACTATACGACATTCACAGCCACAACACGAAATTGTACACATGGCGAGTTACCCTCCCCAAGGGGTCACCACCGACCGGGAACGACCAATGACGACCCGCCGCCACGGCGCCGCGTCCACGACATCCTGCCTACCAATACGACTAAAAGGGGAAACCTGCTACTGAATGCTCGCTGACATCCCCGGAGGCCACAAATGCACAACACACAGCCTAGCAACTTACCACTCACGAATAGCCTTCGTTATTTCCAACAACACGTGGCACATGAGTTTGCTGACTTCGTCTGACGCAGCATAGTGCTTCCTCTGCACTTCCACTTCAGCTTCCAATGCCTCGCACTGCCGGACCTGGATGGAGCATTGCCGCTTGCTGGCACTCTCCATCGTCGACGTCATTAGTGCACCGTGCTTCTCCATGCAGTTCGTCAGCACGTCAAAAGTCTGCTGCCTCGTGCTCTTCCTCTTCCCAGAACCAGCGGGGGTACCCGTCATCTGGGAAGAACCTCGCGTCGACCCCTCATCGTCGTCTTCTTGCCCCACACCTCCGTCCCCATCCGCCACCGATTCAGGATCCGCGTTCAACGTCAACGGCAAACGAACACCGCCAGAAGCCCCAGTGTCTTTCATGTTGTTCGGGTGGATGGTATGGTTCATCCCGGTCGACCCCTCTATCTCGTTGTAAACAATACGATCCATAGTGAAATTGAAGCCCCTGCTCGCCCTCTCCTTGGCTGACAACTGGAAGAAGTCAGCCCCCCCGGACGGCGATTGAAAATGGTGGACTTTCTTGAACTGCTGCATCAAATTGTCCCACTTCTTCTCGCATTTCTCGGCATCCCTGTCCACGCCCATGTTCCCCAATCTTTGAGCAACGTCTTGCCGTTTACATTCCCGCGGTTTCATCCGGGCGTAAGCGTGCCCCACCCCCTGCATATGCGCATCTTGATCACGTTTAGCCCTTATGAGGGCTATAATGTGTTCGACAGACCAAAAGTTGCGCTTCTCCTCCGCATCACCGTCGCCGTCGCCAGCGCTCCCTTTTTCCTGGCCTTTCTTCGCCCGCGGGCGACCATTGCGGACAGAAGGCTTCGACTTCCCGCCCTTACGAACCATGTCGCTTTGCAAGAACGACGACACGTAACCGGCCCCCTCCTTCCCCGCCTTCTCCGTCGTTCTCGTCTTCGTCGTCGTCGTCGGCTTCCGCAGGTTGATCGTCCGTTTTCTTCTCCTGGTTACCTACGCGAAGACGCTCCACCCGCCGTGTGATGGATTTCTCTTGCCTCGCCCGAAGCTCCCGTCTGTGTTCCTTCCACACCTCCCTCCCGTCTCGATCATCACCAACGTCAAAGAAGTCCGTCCCGGTGTCGACGCTACCGCCACGGCGGCGGGCCACTTCGGATGCCGCAGACAAGGGAGACGGCGACTGCATCCAGTGGGGCCGACCTTGGGCGGCCCTGGACAGAGAGGGCGCCTGTGCTTACTGCGTCGACGAGTTCGAGTTCGCTCCTGTCATGTCGCGCGCCAACGCCCTCGTCTTCGATGATCGGTCGTTAACCGTCAATTGCCCGCCGTCGTCGTCGGGGTTGGGGTGCACGAGGACTCTGCGCGATGGAGTTGAGGACCGCCCGGTGGACAGACCAAACGACAGGTTGACGCGGCCATCTCCTTCGTAGCCGCTAAGGCCCGGGCGAAGGAGTTCAGTGAACGACTCCTCATACACAGCGCCGCCCGTCCCGCATAGCTCTGTAGCTGCCCACTCCTGCGGCGATCCGCTGCCCAACGACACGGTGCGTGGCTGTTTCTCCTCCTCCTCCTCGTTTGATGAGCTGGGACGCCCTTCCAACAGTCGACGGGCTTCCACCACACCGACTCCCCCCCACCTGTTCCCCTCCGGACCTGGCGATTGCCTGTGGTGCCTCTGTCCTGGCGTCCTTCATCGAAGACCTTCTTTTGCTTCGATGCCGCGGTACGTTCCCGAGGATACAGACGTGGAAGACAACCAAGAGGAGCAGCAACAGGACAACTAGGAGCAGCAGCGACAGCCTGCGGTGCGGAGCACGTCAACCGTGAAGCAGTACACGACAACGGCAGCAGACGGAAGACAACGAGGGCGCCAACATAACAGCAAAGTACAGTGCTGCAAACGGTCGTTCAAACAAACGGAAGGTGTCGTCTTCGATCACGAACGACAGTGCGTCATCGGGAGAGATAGTGTCGCCTGAAATATTCGTATCTGCCAACTGTTGGGCGAATTCCAGCGGCGTGCCAAACGCGACGACGCGAGACGGCACCTTCTGGACGTCGCGGATGCCGGTAGGTCGCAAAGGGTAACCGTTGGCGATGAACCCTATGAAGCCGAACGTTGGCGACCCAACATGTCCGTGGAGACAGAGGCAGGACCACCGATGGACCAGACGGGATCGAAAAATGTCATCAAGGGAGCTGTCGTCGACGCCCCGATTCTTACGGATGCTCGACCTCCAAGAGACCTCGGGAGGTCCCTTGGGGAAATCGCCAAAATGGTTGTAGCCCCGAGGAATCCCCGAGGAAATGTTTTCACATTTTCTTTTCCAAATCTTCCCCGAGGATGAGTGGAACGACAATTTCCTTGGGGAATTTCGGGCCCCGAGGAGTGTCGAACAAGGCCCTCAATCCATTCAATTGAGTTATCTTCCATATTCTTCAAAGGCGACTTCCACCATTCCCATACTAACGTAGACCGTGGACAGCGTAACCAAAGGTGCTGAGAGGTTTCTCTTTCTAGGCCGCATCTCTTGCAGGTCTCAGATATGTTCATCCCTTTTCTTGCCAACCATGTAGCCACCGGAATGACCTGCAGAGCTTGCTGCAAGATCAGGCTAGCCTAATTCTGAGAAGGGAGCTTCTTCAGCGCCTTCCACAGTTTGTCCCATTGTGGCACCTGTCCCCCTCCCATCTTGATCTTTTAGATTTCTCCGTGTTGCTTTTGCAGATGATCATCTACCAGGGCTCGCTGTACTGCCACTCTTGTCTTTGGTTTATAGTTAATCAACGCAGTGTCCTCTGGTAGTTGGGTCTGGTTCTTATCCCATCCGTACATAAGCGGTTCAACTTTGTGGGCTTGGGTATCTTTGATCCCAAACGCTAGAATATAGCCTTATTGGCTAAATGGCCAGTCCAAGGTATGGTGGAGGATGCTAACAGAATGTGGATGTTTTTTGCTGAGTACATAGTACAAAAGGAATGGGATTTGTCGCAGGGCTCACATGTTTGGCTCTGGATGTTAATGCAGTCCTATAGTTCAAAGAAAAACCTGGCGAAACATTTCATTCGCATGGAACAAATTGCAGCCTCACTTAATTGGAGAACCGAACACGCCAGGCCCTACGAACGTCTGCAATTTTTTTTTTTGGGAACAAAGCTCCAATCTATTCGTGGAGAGCAACACGTGCTGGGAACCGGGCCCAGCGTCCCATATGGAAATTTACATAGAATTGCAAATTTTTGAAGTTTTAAGATACCGGGGCCATTACGCGGCTATGGCTAAGAAAAATTAGAACTACTAAGGAAGATTGCAACATCAAACTACAAGCCATCAACCCTCTTTACCTCCCTCCGGCAAGACTTACTGCAGCAGATCCACCATCTCCGTTGCTGCTGTACCCTAATTTCATCCTACTAGCTAGCCCTCCTCACTAATAGGACGCTTGACATCCCACCATGTACTTATCCCACTCACCTCAATTTTGAGAAATTTGAGAAGATTTGAGAAAAATATAGAAAAAATTGGAGAAACGAAAATCAGAGCTAAGACCACCACCAATCCAAGTCAAACCCTCACTACAGCCGAGAAACCGTCACTCAAACCTTCAGTCCTCGTACCAGAAGTCGCCAATTCTCACGCCCCCCTTGCTAGGGTTACAAGGCAAAACAAACTGCCCCAGCACCGAACTAACTGTCTTCTGACGGACAAGAAGTGTCTTCCTCCCTCGACAACTTCCTTAGCTGCCAACCCCCAACCGGGTTACAGGGTCACTGCCCCGGCCTCAGCTACGTTGAAAGAGGTGGTTATGCCTTCCACCCTCGGCATAGCTTTAATGGCCTCAAGCTCATTTCCATGGTCACAGAGCCACTGCCCCAGCACCGGCCACTGTCGCCCCACCCCGTCCTTCTGGTAGACTTACCACCCTGAGTCACCCTTCCCCTACTGCGCGAGCTCTGATATTTCGCATACATAGCTGAAATTTTTGAAGTTAGTATTTTCGTTCTCTAGGCATATTGGGATAACGATAGAAGTGGTCATATTCTCGGAAACTGAAACTATTCTTTTCTGAAAATCGCATTTCCATTCTTTCTCCCAATTTTTTTTTTGAAAACCGAATCTTGCGAAGCCTACCAATATTGCGTTAGGCATATTCGGAGGTTGCTATATTATCAGAAACTGGATTTCGTTCTTTTCTGAAAATCGCATCTTTACTCCATTTCGCAAAAAATTTTCAAGATCGCAGTTTGTAAAAGCCAAAACTTTGCGGCACCTAGCCTAAATCTCGTTCATTATACTCTTCTGACATATCCTACTCATCATAAATCGACA